AATTCTGAATTTGCAACAACATTATTTTGCAAACAAGGTGTACATCAAGTGCACCACTCAGTCAAGATACCAAAGAAAAAATGGACTGGAACCTTTCCAGCTGTCTCTCAGCTGATAATGAAGACTGTGTCTGTTCTAGGTGTCCCAGTGTCAGCTGATTGGTTGATACACTGACTTAGATGCTCTCAAATAACTTCAAACGATATGCCTCACCGAATACTTGTATGTCGTACAAAAGAAATGCACTTGAGCTCTTTATCACTCCTAATGTGAAACTAGTCTAAAGGCTTGCATTCATCTCTTTCGTACTTGTCCATCATCGCCATTTCTTGTGGGATTTTCACGTCTTATGTCTGCTATCAGAAGGTCATGATAGCTGAGGATCTCTGAGCAACACAAATTAAAAATGCATTAACCTTGATAGATCTGTGTTTGAGTTTAAAGGTGAATGACTTTTTTGCCATTGCATTTTTACAAACTGTTAAAATTCTCTCTCATTACATTGAATTCATACATTGAATCTTTACAAGGGTATCTGTCATTTCTTTCCTTATCGCCAGCCACCCAGCAATTTCATGTGACCAAGAGAGTAAAATGTGTTAACATCATGTTGATCAGTATTTAAATTTATACCTTAGGACGTTGATCAGTATATAAATTTATACCATAGGACGTTGATCAGTATATAAATTTATACCATAGCACGTTGATCAGTATATAAATTTATACCATAGGACGTTGATCGGTATTTAAATTTATACCATAGGACGTTGATCAGTATATAAATTTATACCATAGGATGTTGATCAGTATTTAAATTTATACCATAGTGTGTCAGATTCATGTGGAAGGAAAACCTGGGTGGAAAGCCATAAGTATTGGTATGGTGCAGAAAAGCAAGAATCATAATCAGCGTGAATCTGAGTTGAACCAAATTTGGTATAACTCAGGGAAGCATAACTGTTAAACAAAATCTGGTGTTTAGGATGGCTTGCCGCCAATTCCTGTAGTACAGAGCATTCATGCTTAGTTCAAGTAATGCCATCAACAGAGTATCAGACATCCTACGCATCTTAATTCTCTTGAGCAGAGTGAGTGAGTTGGCTTTTACAGGGGACATCAGAAATGGGCTTCACACATTGTACCCTTGTGGGGAATCGAACCCGCGCTTTTGGCACTCTTGAGCAGAAATACAATAATAACATATAAAAGTATGGAAGTGTAGTGTGAATTTTTGTGCACAAATAGTAAGTTATAGCCATAAAAAACCCTGTTTGACCAATATAGAGGTGAAGGGGTTCTCTAGTGGTTAAAGTGTTTGCTCATCATGTTCGACCCAGGTTCGATTCCCCAGAAGGGACAGTATTGAAAGCCTATTCTAGATGTCTCCAAACACTTGTTTAATCATGGTATAGAAGGAGGATCATATCCTGTACAAGGGTTAGGGCCAATGAGGACAATTCTTTACTTTACAGAAAATCCTTAAAGAATAGAAACACAAATATACATGCGTATTCAATGCACCAATACAAATAAGATAGCTTGTATTAGGTTTTCTAACATCATCAGATCAGTAGATTCTTCATCAAAGGATTAATGAATGCACTAGTAGTGAAGGATTGTATACATTCCCCCAACAACCACATTGTCAGTGACTCTAAAAATGTTATGCATGATTACCAATCTTAATCTTACCATTCTCAAGGGAAACACAGATTCTTACCTTTGGAAATACTCTCACCTTAACTGTTTTTGTTTGTTTAATTTATTATTAATGCCACATTCAGCGATATGGCGGCAGTCTGTAAATAATTTTAATCTGGATCAGACAATCCAGTGATCAGTATGAGCACTGATCTACACATTTGGGATACGATGACATGTGTCAACCATGTCAGCAAACCTGACCACCCAATCCACATTCAGCGATATATGGCGCAGTCTGTAAATATTAATCAAGCATGGGCTACCAAAGACCAATTCTAACCCAGATCTTCATGGGTCTTATCTTACCTGAAAATCATAAGTGCATGTGCAGACTGTAACAAGTACATGTATATGAACTTTTGGTTACACTTCAAATGTTGATTCATCCAGAAGCCTAAAGGTTCAAGTTATTTTATTGCCATCCTGCAATCTGGGACTGGACAATCCAACACTAAACATCAGAGCACATAAAAACAAGGCCAGAATTAAAGCATGGGAATATTCTGCTGAACCTGTGGTAGTTAATTCATGAATTCAGCAATTAGACAGTTCATGAAAATGAGGAATAACAAATGCTGGGCATAGTCACAACAGAAACTTGCCATATATCCCCTATCACTTCAAAGGCAATGCTTATTACAAGATGTGGAACATCTTTCGCTGGTGCTTCAGAAATGTGTCTTCCCATGCCATCATTGCTTCCAGTTTGTCAGGGTTATGTGATTGTCTTGGTCCTAACACTTGTTGATTTACCATTCCTGACATTCAGTATGGAGAAGGAAATTTGTTTAGCATATCTATGCACAATTGTTTGGGTAAATTTGTGTAGGAGCACACATTTGTTGACCTTATGTTAATCTGGTGCAAAGAGCATACACTTAGTGCTTGTATATGTACTACTGTTACTGTGTAAACACTCTGAACCGGCGCTACTTTCCCTCTGCCTTTTGACTGCATACGTCTTCGTGTTGGTTCTGGCACGATTTCCAGAGACAGGATTATACAATAGGTTTTATATCTTTCTTATACAACCTTAATGAAAACATGCGAAGCAGTAAAAATCTGATTCCTTTTCATAACGTCAACCTGCCATAGCCTAAGTGTTGTCAAGGAGTCAGTGTGAACTGTTAAAGCATGTTTGCAGTACAGTTCAGCCTGTGAGGTTCACAGTATCTTCCCAGGTGAATTTAACAGGATTGTCAAGTAACTGGATGTACAAGTTATTTTTTTTAAGAGAAACATATATTTTTTACATATGAGTGTTTCGGAATGATGTCATTTAAACACAGGTAGATGTATAAAACTTAATCATAAATAAAGTATCCCCATATATAAGGTAACCAACTTAAAAAAAAAATCAAAATCAATGCTAATTTATGCAAATGTATTTATGGACATGCAATGATAATTTAAATGAAGAATGTATGTGAAAATAACTGTTATGGGGTTTTTAAAATGTCAGCCGGCTGGTCAATCATAATCGAGGCAAGGCTCATTTAAAGTTTATAGGCAGAATATGTATAGCATAAACAAGGAATTCACATACAATTGAAGCTAATATACCAAAATAGTAATTGGAATAGTAACTTCAAACAAAACACAAAGTTTTATTGTTGAATAACATCAGTGGCTATAGGACACGAGTTAACTCTGCCATTCAAAAGCAAATGTAAGATCTTCTTCCCCAGGTATATTGTAACCCCCTTAATTCTAGGTATAAAAACCATGCCTTATACATGGATATATACAGCACACACAATCTCCTCAGTACCTGACTAATCGCAGTTTCGTTTGATTGCTATTACTTTATGAGAAGGTAAGGGTGGCCCACTCATCTTAGTTGTGTCCCTTGGGTGTGCCAGGAACCAGTGATTGTGGTTTGAAACCGTGTGTTTCTTGGTGTGTCTGCACCATATCCTGGCTTGTGGGTTTCTGAAACCTGTATCAATTTAGGCTTTCCTACCACAATAAGCTATTGTCCTTTGATATAAGTAACTCATTGTTACAAGTAGCATGCACTCCAACTCACTATCACTTTAGGGCCCTTCAACATGTGAGTATCTGTCAGCAGCAACAACTGCACCCGCGATGTCTCAATATAGTCACAATGATTTAACCTTGTATTTCAGTATTCTGGCTAGTCCAGGTGTATATTAAAGGAAACCTGGTTACATTGTTTCTGTACTTGTTATTGTTAGCTAAATTTGTCTCCCTTTATGTCAGCTTACATTCAAGTTTCTTGTCCACCTTAAGGTTTCATGAGGTATTTAATGCAATGTTACCCGTGAAGATCCGGTGTTAGAATTGATCTTCAGCAACCCATGCTTGTCGTAAGGGGCGACTAACAAGATTGGGTGGTCAGATTCACTGACTTGGTTGACACATGTCATCGTATCCCAATTGCGTAGATTGATGCTCATGCTGTTAATCACTGGATTGTCTGGTCCAGACACAATTATTTACAGACCACTGCTACAGAGCTGCAATATTGCTGAGTGTGACGTTAAAAAAACAACCAACCAACCAACCAAATAAAGTAGTGTTCACAAAGAGTCTGAGTTTGATTCCACTGATATATGTATGTGGATCCTCAGCTGTGGCTCCACTGTCATGGTATGGCTTGATTATTGTGAAAACCGGCATATTATCCAACTCACTCATGGCATAAACACACAAAGTTTACTAATCAAAAACAAAATATTTCCAGTTAAATATATCAATATTTTTCCTTTAGTCCATGTTTTGAAGAATTTCGGTTAATTATGATTCCATCTTATCAAGAAACCAATTCTACAAGAGTCAGACAGTCCATTTTGGGTACAAAGCCTCTTTCTTATTCCAGGTATACAGCAGATTGAGTGTGCTGTTAATCATTTGTCAATTTAAGTCTACCTGAAACTGTTATCTATATTCACTTAGCCTTCTAGGCTTCTACCACAAAGATTACAGCAGTGCGCAGCAGTACTCCCAGATTTGTCAAGGAGACAGTATGGAAGTGAGAGTGATGTTGATTTCCTGGTTTATCAACTTTACCTGAGTTTATTTTGAGGAGCAGATTGAATGTTGTACTACAGACAGTATCGCCATTTATCAGAGAAGTATGCCAGGCTGTAGCCGGGCCTGATAAACCATTGCCAGGCAGTAATATGTGTCTTCATTTGTTAGATGCTGAACCAGCATTCAAAAAATGCAGTCAATATTTTTTCAAAAAATAATTATATATTTTTTTACTATGCTATGCAGAGAGGAGCAACCATCTTAGAAAGACTACACTTAAACAAATGCTGACAGTGATGATTGTCATGTGTTAATCATGTCCGTGTCAAACTGTACAATAACCATAGGTGCATGTGCTGCTCTGTTAATCAGATTCCTTAGGTGATCATGAGTTTCAAAATATTTCAATAAATAGAATTACGTGCCTGACTCTGAGGGTGTGGACTCAACTCAAAAAGTACTAGAATTTGTACTTTACTAAGAAAATGTAATCCCAAATATAACATATGTTACATTTGACCACTTTTAAATGGCTTTGTGTAATCATAACATAATGACTATACAGAGTGAGTGAGTGTGTATGCCACTTTTAGTAGTACTCCAGCAATATCATGGTGGGGGATACTAGAAATGGGCTCCATACATTGTAGGTGTGTACCCATTCCTTCGATGTGATGACCAAACATGCTAACCGTTAGGCTACCACACCACCCCAACAATATAGAGGTAATAAACTGTAAATTTACTAATTCACAGGTAGGCAGGCTAGGTAATAGTAAATCGGGTATCAACACACGTGCATGGACACATGCACGTGCACGCGCTCACACACACATTCCATCTGCCATTTCTTATCAGCAGGGATTTACAGGTAAACCCTGTTTTTTCTTGACTGTAGTGTTCCAGACCTAATGAATGCTGGATTAACAAACCATGGACAGAACAATACACCATCATCTGTACCTGAAAGCATTCCTAGCAGTAATTATCAGCAAGTTTCCAGTCTAACATGGATCACAACTTGGTGTGTGAGTTTAGTTTTTATTACGCTTTTAGCAATATTCCAGCAATACCACAGTGGGGGACACCAGATATGATCTTCACACACTGTACCCATGTGAGGAATCAAACCCGGGTCTTCAGCGTGACGAGTGAACGTTTTAACCACTAGGCTACCCTAATTCCCAACGACTTGTGAGGTTACACTGCTTACAGAGTTTGTTTCATGGCCTCTGCACCACAATCCCTTGTCACATGGATTTATAATTTGAAATGTAAAAAACTAAGAAACAGTAGCTCCTTTTATTAGGAATTATTCTTTCATATTACTGTAGTAATCTGCCCAGGCATAGCAGTTTAAAATATGAAAGATTCAGGAGGTGATTGTTTCACTAGATATGACACCAAGTTCTATCCCTGAGGCTACACTGACTGTGTATTTCAGTGCATGATAAACATATCACAGTTCATACCAGTATTTGAAGCCTGTATTTGAAGTTTTTAAGTGTCAGGCCAGATATTTGTTCATGTAATGGTTTACTGTTGGTTTAATAACATAATAATGACAAAGAGATTACAGGTTTGGTTTGTTCTCTTCAAACATTTTACTGAAGCTACTACCAATTTCGTCAATCAAATCTTGTCAGTCATTTGAATGAAAAAATAGTGCATTACTGTTAAGGGATTTTTCCCACTTCTCATGCTTGTATCCTTCAGTCAATATATTTTTTATAACCATTGTATTAAATTAAAAATATATTGAAATCATATAAAGATAACAGTACTGCAGGACTATTAGCATGAGGTGCCCTAATTCACTGTGCAGAGTTGCTTCCCTTAGCTGTGCCTGGATCTGCTAACTACCCAGTTTCTTTAGAAAGGGGAAGCTGTCTTCCTTCATGATCTATATGTGAGTTATTTGAGTAGATTATTATTTACAGAGCCAGTCAGGTCTTCATATTAAAGTGACCCTAAACCTATTCAGACATAAACAAGCAGCTGAGAGAGGTAGACGTAGGGATTCCAGCCTCTGTATGACCAAATGATGGACTTGTATACACAATGAGGGCGGCAGGTCTACAAGAAGATATATACAACAGTGGCAATGTTATCAATCTGGTAAACAGAGACTGGTCAGATCTGTCATTTCCTCTGACTAACTGCATTGCCAGTGATAAAACCAACAAAGACAATATTTTAAATATGGTGATTAAGTCGGATTGTGTGAGGTTGGACAGCAACTATTGCCACTGTCTGGAATTCTTAGCTGGTCTGTGAAACGGGCCAGACGTTTTTGTGTGCCTGAATGTTAACTCTTTCAAGACTGAAGAAGATCCATACCCTGCACAGTTAACCCTTTATCATATGGATGGTTCTCATTCAGTGTACTGAAAAATCAGCAAGATGTACTGAAGACAAAGTGCAGTTAAAAAGTACAAGATTACTTTCATTTAAAACATTTATAAAGAGCTTATGTCTATGAGGTTTTTTTCACTGATATTGTATAGCAGTCAAATTACTTTATTATATTTTACATTGTAAACAAAAAAAGATAACTCTTTCCATTCTCATGAGAAATCTCTGCTGTAAACAGGTGTTATTCAGTTATGTCTTTTAGAGAATTAGCATATTTTCTCCATGCCTGATATTTCACATTATACAGGTACTGTAATAGGCCTAATTTTATGAGTGGGATGCCACAGAGATGTGGGTGGGATGCCACAGAGAAGTGACTTGGATGCCATAGAGATGTGAGTGGGATGCCACTGAGAAGTGACTTGGATGCCATGGAGATGAGAGTTGGTTGCCACAGAGATGTGACTTGGATGCCACAGAGAAGTGACTTGGATGCCACAGAGATGTGAGTGGGATGCCACAGAGATGTGAGTGGGATGCCACAGAGAAGTGAATAAGATGCCACAGAAATGTGAATGGGATGCAACAGGGATGTGAATGGGATGCCACAGGGATGTGAGTGGGATGCCACATGGATGTGAGTGGGATGCCACAAACATGTGAGTGGGATGCCACAGAGATGTGAGTAGGATGCCACAAACATGTGAGTGGGATGACACAGAGATGTAAGTGGGATGACACAGAGATGTAAGTGGGATGTCTCAGAGATGTAAGTGGGATGCCACAAAGATGTGAGTGGGATGCCACAGAGATGTGACTTGGATGCCACAGAGATGTGACTTGGATGCCACAGAGATGTGAATGGGATGCCACAGAAAAGTGACTTGGATGCCACAGAGATGTGAGTGGGATGCCACTGAGAAGTGACTTGGATGCCATGGAGATGAGAGTTGGTTGCCACAGAGATGTGAGTGGGATGTCACAGAGAAGTGACTTGGATGCCACAGAGATGTGAGTGGGATGCCACAGAGATGTAAGTGGGATATCGATGCCACAGAGATGTGAGTGAGATGCCACAGAGATGTAAGTGGGATGCCACAGAGATGTAAGTGGGATGCCACAGAGATGTGGGTGGGATGCCACAGAGAAGTGACTTTTATGCCACAGAGATGTAAGTGGGATGCCACAGAGAAGTGAGTGGGATGCCACAGAGATGTGACTTGGATGCCACAGAGATGTAAGTGGGATGCCACAGAGATGTAAGTGGGATGCCACAGAGATGTGACTTGGATGCCACAGAGATGTAAATGGGATGCCACAGAGATGTGACTTGGATGCCACAGAGATGTAAGTGGGATGCCACAGAGATGTGAAGTGGGATGCCACAGAGATGTGAGTGGGATGCCACAGAGATGTGAGTGGGATGCCACAGAGATGTGAGTGGGATGCCACAGAGATGTGAGTGGGATGCCACAGAGATGTGAGTGGGATGCCACAGAGATGTGAGTGGGATGCCACAGAGATGTGAGTGGGATGCCACAGAAATGTGACTTGGATGCCATGGAGATGTAAGTGGGATGCCATGGAGATGTGAGTGGGATGCCACAGATGAGAATGGGGTGCCACAGAGATGTGAATGGGGTGCCACAGAGATGTGAATGGGATGCCACGGAGATGACTAAGTGAACTAAGACTACCTAAATCTTGGGATCTGTAAAAGGCATTTTGGTTATAAAATATGGCATCATTTAGCTTTTAGTTTACTATTCACCATTTTGGATTCAAAAGCAGAACAGGTCCAGACCAGTGCCACATACGAGGCATAAGCCCCAACTGAAATGTGAGTGGCCCTATCAACCACTGGTTTGTCTTGTCCAGGCTGATGGTAATTTTAAGACCAAATGGAACTGACAGCTACAAATACAACTCCCTAACTCCGTTTAAGATTAATTGAAAGGATGCATGGTTGCCCTTTTTGCAAACAGCTTATGTCATCACTGATTTTCAGTATCCATTCATATTATTTTCACGGCCATTTTTCCCTTTACACCAAACGAATTTTGTTTCTGAGGATATTGAAGACTGGGTATTCTTTTGCACTGACATTCTCTATTTGATAATGGCATGTTCAGGATGATGTACATACATGATATATCTTTTACTTAGGAGTACTTCATTCATCAGATGAATGAAAGCTAGAAAGCAGAGAGCACCATATATTTACATGATATGTCTTTTACTAAGGAGATAAAACACAGCATGTTTATCTCGTTCTGCCATAACAGAATTAAAAGAAAAATCGTTGATGTTAGTGTTGGCACAAATCTGGTGAAATTTACCAACATTGGTCGGGAAGAGTTGGTTGATAGAAGACCAAGTTCCACAGCTTGACCCCTACACATTTCTAGATGTCGGTCCTGTCCTGGGTGCCGTTGTACAAAGCGATCTTAGCGCTAAGGTGACTGTTACTCCCATACCTTAACATAGACTTAAGGTAGTCCTAGCTTAAGGTGACTGTAACTCCCATACCTTAACATAGACTTAAGGTAGTCTTAGCGCTAAGGTGACTGTAACTCCCATACCTTAACATAGACTTAAGGTAGTCCTAGTGCTAAGGTGACCGTAACTCCCATACCTTAACATAGACTTAAGGTAGTCCTAGTGCTAAGGTTGTTTTGTACAACGGCACTCTGCACCGAAGTACATGTAGCTCACGTTATGTCCCCTCGGGATGTTTGTTGTTTAAACCTGCATTCAGCTATATGGCGGCAGTCTGTAAATATTCAAGTCGGGACCAAACAACCAGTGATCAACAGCATGAGCATCGATCTTACGCAATTGGGATATGATGACATGTATCAACCAAGTCAGCGAGGCTGACCACCCGATCCCGTTAGTTGCCTCTTATGACAAGCATGGTCTGCTAAAGACCAATTCTAACCCGGATCTTCACGGGTATTCCCTTCCCTACAATTGTGTTCATGACCAAGTCAAAATGGATACCATGGTAACCCTGGAGCACCTGTAAAATAACCTGGGGTTTTAGACTCCCTGTTTGGATGAGAAGTGAAGGAAGTGGATTTGAATGAGTTTGTTGTTTTAAGTGTTTTTATTATCAGACCTGAGGAAACACAAATACAATCGTATTGACAAAGTATAGGAATGTGTATGCTCAAACCTTGTATTTACATCTTTAAACTTTACTCGCATGAACTGTAGTCAATAATAGTATATAGTATAGTTACATCATTACCTGTAAACAGTAGGCACCCCTAAAGTTTACACCACACATCACTATTACAATGTTATGATGTATCACCACTTAACGTGATAAAGAGAGCATGTAAGCACAGTCAAATGTTAGAAAGGCACCAGATTTCAAGGTCACTTTTCCCCCAAAACAAAAAACAAACTGCCTCAGGAGATATTTACAATGTTTCTTTTCAACCATGTCTCACATTCAGGTACTTTCAGTGTTGTAGAAACAAAATAGTGAGTGAGAGTGAGGGAGGGGGGGACCAGTGTAACAGAACATAAGCAATTGGCAAACTATAATTGTATGCGTTATCATTTCAAAATATCCACATATAATGACTGACAAGTTAGAAGTTCCTTGTGTAAATATTAGTTTCCATGGTCATAAAAATCAGCTGTTTCAGTCAGTGGTGTTTTTGTGATTTGAATTCTCTGACTGACCGATCTCCAGAATCAAGTATTTACCAAACCTACACTGTAATTTTCCATGGTAACGTCAGTTGTTTTGTTGCATATGTTTCATTTTGAAGAAAACATAAATATAGAGACAAACATTCCCACACATTTTATCCCCAGCATCTTTTTCAGACAGGTAAATATCTTGAAAATGAAGTTGTTTTCTCAGAAAATATTACCTATGTATGTCCACCTTTGATTAAAAAGATATTCCTATTACTTTGACGTTTCCTTGGAGTTAAGACATGTATCTCTTTCACCACATCATTCAGAGGAATGCTTACTTATACAGCAAGCTAGTTTAAACAGTACTAGAAAATGAATTTTGTTGCCTGAAAATTGAAGATAAACCCATCCTTTGAGTAGTTTATTTTGAAATATAGGTGTAACTTAAAATCCACTTCAATAAGATCCTTGAGATAGTATGGGCCCTGATCCAGGATAAAGTGTATCAGAGAAGAGTTTCCATCATCATAGCCCCCCAATGCAAGCTAATCTGACTGGCAGAATTTATCAGATCTTTTTGCTTCAAGCAATTAGTCTCAGATATATTATAGTCCTTTTCAGATAAGTTTGTAATGATACACCCTGGTGATATGTATCTAGTTTGCAATTTGATATAGTTTACAAACAGACCAGAAAATTTACATTAATGGTTTGGCTTTTGGGTTAAAAAAGCACCATAACTCATTGTGGCATGCATTATGCTCACTCCTATTGACAAGGCATTTTAGAGAAAAAACAGAGCACTATACTAAAGACACAACAGTACTGAGACTACAAACAATCTCATCAGATTATTTAATAATTTTATCAGAGGATATCTCATCAGTTTATTCATCCATTTTATTGGAGAATCTTGTTTTTTCAGGGACATGAATGTTTGGGAGCCAAGGAGTGCCCCACTGTGTATCTGAGGAAGCAGTACATGGAGGGGCACTGTGTCAAGGGGTTGCTGTACTAGGAAGTTATAATTGATATACCATGGTGATCAGTTTGCATAGTATTAATGTTCAGTTATTCATATGGGTCAAAGGGATTCTAAACAAAATACAAGGAAAAGAATAAATATTTTGTTAAACTCTTAAAGGTCACATGCAACCAAAAAATCAAACATAATTAAAACACAATTATCACTTATTCATGACATATAATATGCATTGCTGATTATGAAAAAACAAATAAACAAAATTATAAGCGTATAATTGCAAATCAAAAGTGCAATATTTTGTACTTGGGTTTACCTCCCTCGAAACGAAGCAGCCGAGATACCGAACCCAGTCAGAGCGGGTGGGTGTGCACTCAAGTGTAACGGCTGGTTCATTAGCAGATGCCGCCTTCACGGCTCTTTGTGTGTGTATATATAGAGATGTTGGGTTTTGTAAATACATGCTCATTTTTTGTGTATAACATTTTGCAATCAACAGACATCATAACATGTCATGTGTTCAAGTATCACACCTGCCTGTCTGTGTAATTACATAATGTGACAGAGACCGAACTCGGGCCATAAATCAATGCATTTTGTTTATGGTGTTTAACCTGATTGGTGTTAAGTTCAAACTGCATGTGGTCAGTGATCGCAGTTGTGTATTGAATATTGTCATTAGCAGACAGGCAGGCAGACACACAGGTGTCAATAAAACAAGACATTGAGTTTTGTCTGTGACAGCAACGTATCTATATCACAGTTAGAAATTGTGTCAACGCTAAATAATGACATTGCTTTTAAGTATCGAACTGAGAAAGTGACTCGGTAAGAAGAACGTGTGGTGAAATAGACAAATGAAATTATATAAACAGTTTATTTACTGTCATAACATATAAAAAGCTCGCGCCTGTGAGATATCAACAAAACATTATGAAAATAGCTCACACCAAAGCCTTCACCGAGTATTCACCGGACAGCCCGCTTCCAAGTTGCGCGAACCTATTTCACTGCGCACGTGCTATGAGCGCAGCCCAGCTGTTGAAACCCGTATTCCCCAGAAAAGTCTGGGGAAAATTAGTGAAACGTTTGAACTCCGATTTCGCGGTTTTTCATCATCGTTATTTTTCAACTTTATAAGTTGAATTTGCATTTTTGACGCTTTGTTTCGGTAAGTCCATACCGAAAGGTATCAGAATCTGCAAAGTTGTGTTTTACGTTGCATGTGACCTTTAAGTTTATAAGTGCTAGAGCATAAAACAGTGAGGTTAAGACTGCATATGTTCCATCGTCAACATGGGTTCTTGCAAATATTACATCATTGCCATAATCCTTTGTCTTGGCTCATATTGTGGCTGGGATCAGACTATCAATAATTGTCAGATTTTCAACTGGAGTCCTGTTCACAGTCAACTATACATGAGTAGATGTACCTGTCTAAGCATATAGCTGCTGAAGCTTTTGTATGTGGAAGGTAGGGAAAAACCTGATGTCTTTCCTCTGTGTGCAAGAGGAAGCACCAACTATCTCCAGCACTTCGGTACAAGACCTTTTTCAGTATTCTCAAGTTGTAATTGCAGCATACAGCATAATTCAGATGTTTTAGGTCTTTTTCTTCTGGTAAAATGGTTGTTTAGTTACTCAAAAATACAAGTTGAAGATCTGTGTTTTTGGGTATGGGATTGCATTGTCATTGTTGATATGCAAGAAGAGAGTTCTCTAAGTGCAAGAAGTTTATGGTTTCTGGGGATCCTGAGACCATGCTTATTTGAACTGCCATGAAGCAGTGATCATCCCTGTCAGTTGGCTTTTCTCAAGTTATCTTTAGTTGGTCAAGAAAGTTAAATGTAAGGACCCAGCCAAAATTACCATACCAGCCAAAATTACCATACCCTCTGCCTTGCAGCCTACATACCCTGCAAAGCTTAAACACCACCCAGTCAGAGGTTGCTTCTACTTCTTCAGTATGTTGGAATAACTATTCTTCATACAATGGTCAGCTGTAGAGGATTTATTCTCACTTGGGTTATCAGCAGAAATGGAATTGCTGAAATGGTACAAAGATCATCTCCAAAACAAGACAATGAGGATAGTCAAATGGCAAGTATATTCCTCCTCCTGTACCAGAGGAATCAGCAACCACCAAGGAAGCTGGGCAGTTACCATGGCAATTTTACTACCGTCAATCATCAGGGTGGCAGTCCCCAAGATGTATCCAGCCACAATTCTTGAATGCAAATGGCCTTCATAAGAAACCAAGGATGATCACTCTGCAGACCCATTACCTCTTTCAATATCTGCCATTCTTTCTGCTGTAACAGGGCCATTCAGGTCACAACATGGATCTGGTGGGAAACAAGACATCACACAGAGATCAGTCTACTGCTGTGGGCACTTGTTCTACACAGACTGGAAGAAAGCAGATCCTGTGATTTTGAGGAGAGACAGCCTAACTGTCCAGGTACCATTAGCCACAGTATGTGCGATTCAAGTCAACCATGCAAATGTTCCACAGTAACCTAGGTCACAGAGACATCATGAGTCACGTAGGGAACAGCTGGATTCAATTGTCTTGGCCCACAATATTCTTCTAACCCTAACCCGCCATAGAACATGTACTCTCCGAATTCTGCACCAGATATTATCCTTGGCCAACTCCACTTTGCAGGTGATCCCCTAGACCAATAAGAGTTTCAAGAATCTTGATGATGATGATGATGATGATAAGTTAGTTCTTTGATGAAACAACATATTCATTAAACATGTCATTTTCTTCTACCAGGTGACCATGGGATAAGGAAGCCTAGCATGATAGACCAGTAGTCATGGTGGTGTGAGGAAAGTCATCCTCATCTCTGAGTGAGTGAGTGAGTTTAGTTTTACACCGCACTCAGCAATATTCCAGCTATTCCTCATCTTTGAAGAACCAACTTCTCAGTTACAGGAGGGTGGTGGAGTGGGTAAATGGTAACCTATTACCCACCAACAATCATAGATTCAAGGTTTGCCAAGGGCAACACATGGTAACTGAATTAACTCATGAACAGAACATCCAGCTCACTTCACACAGTCCAATACGTCCTGTTATTGCCACAGTTACAAGCTCAACATGCAGACCAGGCCTAGTAGTCAAGACTTAGATCATATTCAGAGCAAAGACATCTTCTTGTGGGCACCAATGGGCAGCTGTGTTGACATTGCTTGAGCTTTGAAACGGGAGATAGAGATGTTTCCTTCCACAGACACCACAAACATAACAAGCGTTCTTTTGGGTGACCATCCACACTGCAGATTCCATGATTACACTAGATGGTCACCTCAACAGATAAGCAATTATTTGTATCTCACTTCTTAAATTTTACATTGCTACTGTCAAGTAAACATAACACAGAACCATCATTTGTAGATACAATAATGAGTCAGACTTGAACACCATCCAACCCAGATTATCATGTGCTGCCTACAGTGGCACAATCATCCTCTGGGTCAGATCTGCTAAATGAGACTTGGATTCAGTCCAGGGGATGAAGAGACCTCTGATTCTGACTCATCTCCAACACCTGATAATACAAACAGGGGCACTCCTTTTACACGGTTAATAGAAGATCATCATTTAATGTCAGGTTTCAAGCCAAACCTGAAAGAACAGGTTGCTAAATATTTTAGAATACACAGCTGGCCATAGACTGATTTTCTGTTCCAATTCATAAGAAATGTATTCTATCATAACTGTTACAAGTTGTCAATCAGGTTTATTGTCTTTGCACTTGTTACAAGAACAAATTCCTTGATTGTATGATTCCATCTATATCATAAGCATGTCAATTTGATACTGATGAAACCAGGGGAAAGGTGAGTGAATCCTGCACACCATGTGGTTAGTAGCACCCTATCACAAACACATGCAGGGTAAGTCAACTGTTCACAGAGAACACATGGCAAAGTATGCTACAAGACAATTTGTGGACCTACATCAGACTTTGTTTTTGTCATAAATGTGTCCAGTCATGAAACATCAGAGACATTATATGCAGGAATTCTTGTAGAGAAGGATGGCTACCATCCTTGTAGATGGGGGTTTGCCTGGTCTTCTCAATAACTTTGTTAAATGCAGGAAGAGGTACCAGTACTCACCAAATGTGAATGTCCAGCCAATCCTCTTGGTTACAGAGGTAATGTTTCCTGACCAACTTTGGACTGTGGCTGTGCCGTGACCTCAAAGAGGCTTGTGAAAGCCCAACCAGGTAACAACACTCATTTATTAAAAGTAAACTCAGCACTGTCAATCTGATTACAAGCATGAGAGATGAGGCTACAGAGTTGATATTGATTGTCTGGAAACCCTATCAACATTATATGAGTATGGATTTATTGAATCACACACCTACCAGAGGTTTATCTTGTGTGTACCTTCCTGAAGTGGATCACATCTATGGTGTTGTCTATTGTTGATTTATGAACCATATGGAGGTATGAATCCTTGGCATTCCTTCT